TACAGTAATTTAATTGCGGCTAAATATAATAAATTAAAAACAATAAATGAATATTTTTAATTATTTTAGATGAATATGATACTTTACTTAAACTTTATTCTGCGTTAAAAGATGAAAACGAACAACTCAAGAATAAAGTTAAACAATTGGAAAAATCAACTCATATGTTTACAATCATTGACAAACGTAAATTCAAAGCCGATAAATGTACACTCAAATTTAGATGTTAAATCGGAAACAACTAAGCTAAGGAATAATAACACATTGTCTTTAGAAGAGTACTTACGCTATGGACGTCAGCTTATTCTTCCTGATTTTGGCATTTCGGGTATAAATATATATATATTCGCATGCTCAACTAATAAATCTATACATTTGAAAATTTGAGAATTCGATTGTACATTTGTTTCATAGGTCAACTTAAACTTAAGAATAAATCAATATTAATTGTTGGAGCCGGCGGTTTGGGTGCACCTGCAGCATTGTATCTTGCAGCAGCTGGTGTTGGTAATGAGCTGCTTTGTCAACTGGTTTGAGTATTTATCAAAGACTAAAATTCATTGATTATCATAGGCAATTTGGGTATCATAGATTATGATTCAGTGGAATCATCAAATCTACAACGTCAAATAATTCACAATGAGTCAAGAACTGGTATATCTAAAGCTCAGTCTGCAAAAATGACTATACAAGGGTAATAACAATAATTCTTTGGTGGATAACCATTACTTATTAAACATATTAATCATATATAATGTGTATATTTACGTAGATTGAACTCACTGTGCGAATGTGTTGCATATGATCTCCTTTTGGATAGTTCAAATGCACTTGACATTATAAGAAAGTGGGTTTACAGTAAATCTTGATGTTTTAATTATTCTTTATTAACCTATTTATAGATATGATATAGTCGTTGATGCAACTGATAACGTCGCTACTCGCTATCTTCTCAACGATGCATGTGTTCTAACTGGCAAGCCTTTGGTGTCTGGTAGCGCTTTACGTATGGATGGACAATTAACTGTGTACAATTATCGTGGAGGACCCTGTTATCGATGCATATTCCCAAAGCCTTCACCACCGGAAAGTGTTTTAAACTGTGATGATGGTGGAATTTTGGGTGTTGGTTTGTTTATTTCATGATTGAATCATTTATAAAATTGCTTGTATATGATCCTAATTGAATTAAATACTTAGTGACAGGAGTGATCGGATGCTTACAAGCTTTACAAGCAATAAAAATTGCTGCTGATATGAATGGTGAATATATTTCTCATCTAATTGAGTAAAAAAAAAAACAAATCAAACTGGTCCCACACTATGAACCATTAAAGTAGAATCTTGTAACTATAAAAATTTATGACAATTTGTCTGAAACATTATTCAAATTCGGCTATTGTTTCTTGCTAGCTAACAATTAGTTATACAATTTGAACGTGAAAGCATGTAACGTTTCTATATTTAATATCCATCAACGTTTAGACGACGGAACCTCCCATAATCTTTTGATATTCTCGGCTAACTCAAACCCCCTCTTTCGATCCATTAAATTAAGATCGAAAAAGCCTAATTGTGTGATATGTAGTGATCATCCAGCTATAACAACATTGCAAGATTATGTTCAGTTTTGTGGCAGCGGTGCATTGGACAAGGTATGACGATTCTAAAAACAAAATTCTGTATGCGCATAATTTGTTGCAATCTTAGTGATCAATCTACAGTCACCCTTAGTGAAATTACTCGGTGATGACGAAAGAATAGATCCAAAGGTAATTAATTAAAGTTTTACGTTACAATTTATGTGAAATTGATGTTCAAATCATTTTTCAGTCTTATTTTGCTTTAAGAGCCAAAGGCATCCCACATGTCCTTATTGATGTACGTGAGTCTGTTCAGTTTGATATTTGTAATTTACCTGGCTCACTGAGTAAGTCGTCTCTTTATGGAAATTACAATTTTTTGCTTAAATACTGTATTTTTTTTTGGTAAAATTTTCAAATGTGATCTTATCATCTTGTTGAAATGTAACAAAAAGATATCCCATTAAACGAACTTCCTAGAAAAGTGGACTTGATACAACAATCTTTACCATCAACTGCAGCACCAGGTGTGATTTTAATGATAACATTGTAATTTTGATTTTATATAAAAAAAAATGCTAACGTCAATAAATCAATGTCGAATAAGTTTATGTAATTTGCCGTAGGGGTAATGACTCTCAACTTGCTGTTCAAGCATTAAAAAAGACTTTACAAGGAGAAATAAAGGATGTTATTGGAGGATTATATCGGTGGGCTAAGGATATCGATCGTGAATTTCCTATATACTGAGTTGTGCTGTTCCTAGTCGCGTGCGCGTTGTTTAGTATTTTGTGACTTTTGTTTTCTACAGTACGGGACAGCAAAAAACACCCAATTTTTTAGCAATTGTTAAATGTCTAATAACTTTATAACAAATAATTATTTTAAAAATCCCTCTTACAGATTTA